CTGAATACATCAATAGATTGACTTCAAATTTTGTATACGTAGACTGCAGAGCATGAACTATTATGTGACAAAAACAAGACACTTCTAGCTTATTTAGCGTCTGAGGTATGAACAAAACAAAAAAGTTCATTATGGTGGTTGATCAATTTTGGTACCCACTGTATATAAATGTTCTAAAACTACTTATTAACAGTATGACAAGGCAAAGGTTACCAACTAGTAATTAGAACGATTAAAACTTTTATTACAAATTTTCAATGTCAAAATAAAAGTCCCTCATAATAATTTTCTACTTACCCTATTCTATTGGCTCAATATTATTTTATATCTAACTAGTAAAGACAACGTTTGCACTTCTATAGTTTATGATTATTTTGAAATACATACGAGATGTCTGTGCTCTCAAAAATAAGTAGTCAGTCACTGTCGGAAGAGGAAATCTGAATAAAATACTGTTCTAGAATCTTTCTTCTATTCAAAAATCAACATTTTTTCATATACCTTAAGTATATTTCTATGTTTAGTTTTGTTAAATAGATAAATCAACATACTATTATTGTTAATGATTCAGTAAAATTTTCAATTAGATCTTGAATTTTAATAAAAACTCCATAACAATCTTGATATTCATTTTCATGATTATTATTTTTATAATAGGTAAGTAATTCTAAAAAAAAAGAAATAAATATATATCTATATAAAGTTAAATTATTATTAAAAATAAAAATGTCCTACTTTCAAGTAAATATTCATAATGTAAAAGTCTTTGTAAAGGTTTTATTAAAAATGACATTAAGGATAGATAACAAAATTTTTCAGATTCAAATTCTTTATAAATTATATCAAAACGTGGATTATGTTTAAGAACATATTCAAGTTCTGTTAATAAACAATCATAATTTTCTATATAAAGTTCATATCTCTATATTAAATATAAAATAAAATTTTTTTAGAAAAGAAAAAATATTCAAATATTTACCGGTAATATTTCAATTAAATTCATAATTAAATCTCCAATTTGTGGAATTGTTTTTTCAACATTCATAAATTCATTACCTGGTATAGAACGAGTTTCCCTAATCACAAACAAAAAAATTTCAATTAATTTTGTAGAGAAAAATTTTTTTTTTTTTATTATTTCTTATTACCAAATAGCAATTCTGTGTTCAAGTTGTCGAAGAAAATGTATATGAAATTTATAAATAGGTAATAAATGTATAAATAAAATATCAGATAAATGAATTAGTGTTTCATTTTCAAAATTATATTCTTCATCCATAAATAAATCTTGTTGTGGATTAATAGCAACCATTAATTCACGACGAAAATTTTCAGCAATAACTTCAAGATCTTTTCTATATGTTCGTTCAGTCGTTAATAATTCTTTACAAATATAAAATGATCGATCATGAATAGGTGATATTGTCATTGTTGATGAAACGGTAGTTGGAAGTATTATTGATGATGATGATGGAGGAACATGACCAATTATTCGCTAAATTTTATTTAGAAGTTGTTTTTTCTTAGAGAAGTTATACGATAGAAAGAAAATCTTACTGGAATGCCTGCAAGTGGAGGACTCATTGAATAAGATGTTGATGTAATTATTCTAGATGCTAAATAGAAAAATGCATACGAAATTTATTGAAATATGTAATTGAATAACATGAAGATCAAGATTTTAAATTATAGATTTTTTTCAAAAAATTCAGCTACTCTTTTGTTCATATTTATCTATATGAAGAGTATACTGAAAAGTTTCAGAAAAATGATAATCGTTTTGTCAGAAGCTTCGGTACATAGAATAATGATTTTTCTTGAGATGGAAGCGAATTATATTATGCATCAGTTATTCCACCTCTATGTTCTTCTATAGAAGTCGACAAATTCAGTTTTGAATTCGGATGTAATCTGTTCGAAATATTTTTATTCTATCAAGAATCGCACTTCCGGATATAAACAGCTTTAGTTCTATTTTTTTTTGAAAAGATACTTCGGGGTGGGTATAAAAGTCTTGTATTAAGGAGAGGCACTTCTGAGAATAAAAAGCTTTTGTTCTATTTTTTGGAGAGATATTTCCGGGCATGAAGAACTTGTGTTCTATTTTTAAGAAAGGCACGTAGAGTATTAAAAAATTGTGTTCTTTGTTTTGGAAAAATACTTCCAAGTATCAAAAGTCTTTGTTTTATCTTTGAAAAAGGCACTTCTGGGTGTCAAAAGCTTTTACTCTATTTTGTGAAAAGATACTTCCGAGTATAAAAACTCTTGTTCTGTTTTTTTTGGAGAGGCACTTCAGATTATTAAAATTTTCTGTTCGATTTTTGGAAAAGTCATTTCGGGGCATAAAAGACTTTTGTTCTTTTAGTAAAATATCATTCTCAAAATAGAACAAACATTTTTCGCACAGCTCAACTCCTGGAAGTGATTCCTATCTGAGGAACTGTTTGAGATAAAATAAAATTTATCTTCTAATTTACTATTAAGTAAAATGTTTATTTTATTATTTAAATTATACATACGTGATTGTTGATTCATAATTGTAGGTCTTGATTCAATTGTATTTATTGGTATTGATGGTGATCGATGTTCATGAAAAATTGGTATAATTCGAGTCTATAATAAAACGATAAAACATTAAATTGAGTTTTTTCAACTTGAAAATATTTTATAATTTACCTTCGTATTATCAATAACTGATTCTTCAGTTTTACTCATTGGTTGTATTGAAATATGGGGAGATGGTAGAGACGGAAACATATTTTCTTCCATTGAAGATCTTAAAAAAAGAAAAGAATAAAATAATTAATGTCTTCCATCAAAGTTAGATAATTAGTTTAGAATTTATCTTTTCAAGTAGACGGGAACCTAAGAGATTGTATAACTATTTATTAAAACTTTCTAACACAGACGTTCATTAAATTTAATATTTCTTCTGAGATGACTTCTTTAGTACTTCTCAAAGTGGTAATCGATACTATATCTTGGATATTTGTCTTTCTGTAATATCTTCAATTTATCAATAGATCGAATTTTTGCTATGTTTTTCTTTTGAATTCTTTGTAACTCATATATGTCAATAAACAATTATTTTAGTTTATATATATATATATATATTTACGTTTTAGTTGGACTTTGAATATCAGTATTATTATTTATCATTGTCGTTGGTTTACCAAGACTTGGTCGTTGCGTTGGTGAAACTAATTGTTGATCACTTAATGATGATTTTTGTGGTGGTATACTACTAGTTACGGCTGGTACTAGCCGATGATTATTAACAAATCCACTAATTTGATGTCGATGTTGTTGTAGACTTGTTGATGTTGACAAAGAAGTTACTGAATCTTCTATAATACACAGACACAATAGAAAATGAATATAAAAAAAAAACTATTTTTATCTATTGATTAAAGATTATTATTTCTATTGTTTTGAGTTATTCTTAAAGAATGCTGTACTGTAAAATTATTTGAAGACATAGATTAAATATAGAGATAAGCAAATGAAGAATGCGTACTGTTCACAATCAAATCATCACAGACAAAACAAAATCTATCTCTACTATATAAATTTGTCGTTTATTTCCGATTGTATAAAAAAAGTCATATAAAATTTGATGAACAAAACACAAAGCAAAAAATGCATTCTTACACTCTACAATATAGAGAAAAAAGATTTTCTTTTCTAATCAGTTGTCTTATTCAATCTATAGTTTAAAAGCAATAACGAAGAGATGTCTAAATTCAATTATATGGAACGAAACAAAAAAAAAAAACAGAGGCATATTCAATTGTTATGATTATTGTTGTTTTTAGAAATAAAAACATCCATTATCATCAATAGAGAGATGCGAGTCGACCCAAACTCGATCAAGCGTAGACTTTTACTTTGTATCATGTCTGATTCCACAAAAATATTTGACCCGTAACTCTGTATTACTCGTCAGAAGTAAACTCTCATTTATACAAGTGATTTTGTAGGAGAAAAGCAGCAAATATGCAATAGTCACAAGAAGTCCTGCTATTGAGTAGAAATCATATAAGCTTCAATGTATTTGACTGAATAGAGTTCGGTAAACCATGATTTCAAGCAGAAATCTGAGATCAATTGGTCTTATAAGGCAAAGAATTTACGATGAAAATACTGTTAATGATTATTTTCACACTTTTTTGGTTTCATACTATTTAAATGCGTTAATCTCGATTTTCTTATTCATAAATAAAGGGTTGCATGTTTATCTTATGTCATAGATAGGAGACTTTAATCCACTGTAATCTTGAGCGGCAGGAACGTCTCAATTGTTTCGGGCGATCGCAGTATAAATCTCCTCTTTGTTGATGACTGTGATCGTAAAATTTTCAAGGCAAATGGTTATAATTAGCGGGAGATATATATACATTTTCGACGACTCTCATCAACTCCCATGTAGAGATTACCCAAAGAATACATTATAAATCAAGCAAATTAAAATTGTTTAACATGAATTTTTTATTGATTATTGAGACAGCACGGAGCTATTCGATGAAGAGTCTAATGTCTTATGATTTACTTTCTATGTCGAAATATTCTCGTCTGAATGAAAAAATCTATGTTGACTTTCTAGCTTCTCCATATGAAAGTTGATCAAGTCTTTTCATTTGATACGGGGAGGGGTGGCTTTTTTTGCAGCCATTATATGTAAACAATTAATTTTTAATTTATATCAATCAAATTGATTCCTATGATAATGATTAAACGCGTCTCTTAATGAACATTGAGACTTTTAGAATGATTTTCATTACAGACAAGATTGATATTTTCAATTATTATTCTTGAAGAGAATATGAAGTTGTTTATTACACAATTAATTGGAGTGTTCCATCGTTACGATTTTGAAAAATCACTAAAATGATATACATTCAACAGCATCATTTTAATAATTAACTACAGAAGAGAATTGATTCATTATCGAATTTACATCTGGGAAATAAACTTTTTTTAAAACTCGTTCCATTCAACGAATAGAAAATATATGGCTAGTTTAATTTGTCAGATTTTTTTCCTTTGCATTTTTTAATAGAGAAAATACTCCTCAATCACCATTCTATAGGAAATAGACAAGAAAAAAATCTAGTAAACAATTGAATTCAATATTTACAATCATGTTTATGAATTCTTTTTTTTCTGCAATAAATGTATCAATAGAAGTAATTATATATCGAACTAATTTTATTAAATCATCAAAAGACTTTTTTTTCTTTTCAATAGAATAAAAAACGAAAGAATTAATCAAATCAATATTTATCATACGTAGGACAAGACATGCAATGCACTTTTCTTCAAATATATTATTACATGAATATTGTACATGCAAATTAGACATGATTATAAGACAAATTACAAAGCAATAAAAATTCTGTATGGCAATAAATATGATACTTGACACTGAATGACCTATTCAAGTCGAACTTTTATTTTCATATGCTTAACATTTGCAAACCTTAAATTTGTCCTTCATGCATGAGTTATATACATAATTAAAGTAACTCAAGCGTTAAACTTATGAACATCACAACAATGAAGATACTTTGGAACAATCAACTAGAACAAAATAATAGCAGCTGTTCTGCTCAATACAAATGAGAATGCTCCTTGTCATGAAGGATTTTTCAATCTAATTACTTATGTAGATTCCATTTTTGCCTGTCTGTTAAGTCTTTTATCATTTGAATTGTGAATTTTTATTCAGAGTTGATTCATTTTGAATATAAAACTAAAAAAGTGCTTTCATGTATTAGGGATATTACTTTTATTGTTGTAACAGATGTCGAGAGATCTAATGGACTATTATTGCTTCTAGCTTGCGATCAAGACAAATTTATGCTGTTGAATCTGTACAGTTCGTACATCCGATTGAACTCATTAACATGAGTCATTTCTGTTTTACATAGAAGATGTTCGAAATAGATTATTACTGATGACGCACGCCTTTGATTTTGGACTCTATTTGCTATTCAACATGTTGCTTATGCGAAACACGATATTAAAAGACAGTTGAAGTATAGAGGTAAAAATTTGAGTCCACCCCCGCAGACCGTGACAAACGTCATTGATATACGATCAAAGATCATATATTGCTAACGTCTCATTATAATATATGAATTGCTTCGTTACTACATTTCTCGTGGATTAAGTGGAAGGACGATAAAGAAATGTGTCCTCGAGTAGATAATATAAAACCAATCTTCCTATGATTAGCAACAGTATCTGTATCGTATTTCACATTTTAATCTCACAGGAATTGCAATAATAGGTCTTTTCTTTTTCATGTTTCTACAAATTTACCTTTATCTACTTGATCAATAGGATGCTGAATTAATGGACTATGATTGTCATCAATATGAACTGGTTCACTGCTTCGACAAATATGTGTAGGTGATGATGATGATAGACCATTGATTGGTTTTTGTATATGTTCATCTTCATCTTCATCAGTATTTTGTTCGTCAGATAAATCATATTTATCACGACTAAATTTTGAATCTAATGTTCGACTACCATGTGTTGATGAATCATCATAATAAACTTGTTGATAAACATTTGTTGTATCTCCTATAACACCTGTTTGATTTTTATGATGACGAACAGATTCAATTGTATCCGATGTTCTTATTGTTGATCCTGGTGAACGATGTGCTCGATTAATTACTGGTGCAACTGTACGTGTATTTGAATAAGATCTGAAGAATAAAAAAAAATAAAAATAGAAAAATTTCACGTTTTGTATTTTTTCTTTACCGAGTAAATGATCGATTTTTAACATAATTTTCACGTGCATATTCAATTATTTCTTTTTGTGTTCGACCATGATAACGAAATGATGAACCACCAGCTAATAATTTATTTTTTGAACGTTGTGAACGTTGTATAGTAACACAACGAAAAAACGCATGATATTCAATACATTTTTTCCAAAAATTTTTACATTCATCACGTGTATCAAAATAAAATTCAACTGTATCTTTATAATAACCCTTTAAAATTATCAATAAAAGAAAAAAAAAATTCTTTGTTTTTTAATAGAAAATTAATATAAATCTCTTACATATCCTTCTGGTTGTAATTTAATTAAAAATTTTTTACGTTTAAAACTTAATTTACGAATTTTTGCCCACGAAAAAGTATTAATTTTTGTTATATTTTGAAAAACAAGTATACCCATATGTGCAACGGATAAATTAAGATTAACTTGTTCATGATCTTTAGCTAGATGCATTTTTATACCAAATAATTCAACTTTACGTGCTATATCAAGTAGATTAAGATCAGCATCAGCTGGAGATTGACCACTATTTAAAATAAATATATTTTATTTTAATATTAATATTTATCATTATTTTACTTACAGATGATTTTTATGAAAATTCATTATTCGAATTTCATGTTCAACTGATTGATGAGGAAAATATTTATGACTATTAAAATAACTTGGATTATTATTATATGTTTCAAGATAATCACCAATTTCCGCTAGAATTTCTCATTTTAAAAATAATTTACAAAATAAATAAAAATATTTTATATACCTTGTACTATATAAGAAGCAAGTAAAGAAGCAGTATTATCACTGCATAATAGTGCACCAACAGCAAGATCACGTTTGATTTGTAATGCAAAAAGATATCTTAAATAAGAAGAAAATTATTTGAATAATAAATGTAAGACTAGAATAATATATTTATATTCTACCTAGTAAATTCTTCTTCCAATTGTCCTGGATCAGGTGTATAAAATTTAACACAAAATGAAAATTTTGTTTCTGTAACTTGTTTAAGTATGGGTTTATCTGATTCAAGCCAGCACTAGTTATATAATAAAATATCATAAAATATTTCTTTTATATTAATAATGATAATACATACAACATTTCGATGACTATCAAGATATTCTAATCCAAAATAATCTTTTTCGAGTAAATCGATATAATTGCAAACTGAATTAAGTAAATCTTGTCCAGTAGCTTTTGGCTAAAAAAAAAGAATACAATGTTTCATAACAAGTCTCTTCCATCAATCAATCAATCGATCAATCAATTGAACACGCATGTGTAGAATAAACACATATGTGTTTTTCTTGTGATAATAGCGAGCATTTCATCATCGTCATTATAAGCGAAGGCGATGATGACAGACATTTACGGATGTATTCAGCAATTAACTTCGACTATCTATCACATTCTGTGTTTGTTTTGACAAATATATCACAGAATCGATTGTCATGATTGGCAGTGTTTGATATAGATCGATGTGTTCGTGTAACAACAATTTTCTACTTACATCAATATGAAATGGCAAATCTTGATCGTCAAGCATATGAACTTTGCATGCAATTTGTTTGCCAGTTTTGGTTTTTGTTATTGTGGAAGTCATAATATTTGATTTTTTTGTTAATTTTTGTAAATATTAAATTTTATAATGGACGGATAAAAAAAAATACAACATTCATATGGTTTCGTTGTCATTATTGAAACTAAATTATTGTTTATTTTAGTCGTGTGTTAGTAGTCGTTCTTAAACCATTAATATCTTCTCTAAAAGAAACATATAACACTCGTAGACACGCATATGCATACATATGCACATACATATAAACGAAAGCTGTCTGCCCATCATCAATGTTCGTGATTTGTAGGAGAAGTCTCGGTCAGCTTGCATATATGCTCTCTTTTTTTTTTGCTTTATCAACGATCAAGTTATTTTGTTCCTCTTTCACTAATAACATCTCTTCTCTCTGTCTCGCGTCGAAACTTGATTATTATTTGCGGTCGTAGTGATTGATGATGTGAGTAAAAAAAAAGACCTCTATGAATAAAGTCCAAATGCATGCATGAGATGTGTCGCATTTTTTTCCCTTTCTATATACATATGAGGATAAAGATAAAGACAAATTAACTGGGTAAAAGAAGAGCAGATAAAAAAGAAAATAAGATAATCGATCGATTAAATACAAACGACTATCAATGCAATGGTGACATCAAACGTAAAATTTGTTCATGCACGTCTATCTAATACTGACCGGTTTTATTTGTCATTTACGATTATCTCCACTACTTCAATTACATTGTCTGTCCTTTTGGCTTCCTGATAGTGATGACGACTAACAATTCATCATATTCTTGCAGACGGCGGTGCCGCTCGGCTATCGAATCTTTCTTTGCCGTTCTCTTGCTCTCTTTCTTCTTTAGCCTCTATTACATGACTACGTAGTAGAGTAACAACCAAGTCAGTCGTCGTAATACATTCTATAGAAAGGCCATTACTCAACATACCAGTTCCTCTTCTGCTTCTTCTTCTTCTTCCTTCTCTTTTTCGGCTCTATCGTTGATGATCTCTCTCTCTCTCTCTCTCTTTGTGTCTCTGTCTCTCTTTCTCTCTGTACGCCTTGAACGTCTTAGCGCATTCTCATCATCAAACGGCTTTTCCTTTTCGCCAAATATAAATCTGTAGTAGATAGTAGGATAGCAGCAACAATATATGCATATAGGTCTGATCGATTTATTTTCATTCTTCAGTTGGCAACATTTGGTCAGGCTAACAACCGCTTAAAATAAGATATTGATTATGCCACTTGCAATGCATCACATTATAAAAAAAAACGGAGAATGTGCTATATGTTACACATTGACTTGATTGTAAAATTAAAGATACAAACTGATTTTATGGTAAAAATAGCTCCTGTATTTAGATTTTTTCTTTTCATGCTTGAAAATAAATCAAAAACCGTTCGACTTTGTCAGTGTGTGATAGTAACAGGAAATGAGACATATTAATGAAGCGGATGTCTACTTGGAAGCATTCATATAGATGTACTTACATAGTTCTTTGCTATTCTTTCATAATGTAATGTTTTTCAGCAAGATCAAAAAAAAAAAAGAAATATGTATATGAGTGCATTCACTAATAATCAATGAAAAAATGAGTTTTCCATGAAAAAGATACATAGTTTATATCCTGTTTCTGTGTAATATTTCTCATATAGGAAAAATGAAAGCCTATTGTTCTAATTTTTATGACAAAAAAGAAAAAGAAACAAATCATACTTTCAGGTTAAATACTATTTAAAAAATTGACTCGAGCTATTCTACTATCAATTCCATATTACAAATAAAAAACTTACCAAGAAAATAAAATTTTTGTTCATTATAATTAAAGAAAAACATAGTTAAATATGTTATTCTAATTTAATTTATTATTTTTGTAAAATATATTCTCATTACTTTAACTTAATAAAATATTAAGCTTTGATGAAAGGCATTTCTCGCTTACCCGAAGACTATTCGTGATAATAAAAATCGATTTTTTTTCTGCTTTGTTAAAGATGATGTATAGCTTAAATTGACAGATAGTGAGCAAATGTAATTAGAAAGAGGAACGAGAAACGTGTCAAAATCTCCGAAAAAAGAATATAAATAAACAGTAGCACAGCATGACACTAATACCGAGTAATACTATTCAATGGTTTGATTCTTCACCAATCATAGAATCGATAATTTTGATTGGTCGGAATTATGCAGAAGAAAAATTGCTAGGTTTTTTTTTGCATTTGTATTTGTCATTTTATATGTCAAACTCACCGAGAAGCATATTCTTAATGAGTCTGTCGTTGATATAAGACTTTCTCGTCGTGAAGAATAATCAGACAGGTTGATATTTCCATTTTCGTTTTGTTTGTAAAAGAAGTTTAAGAACATTTGAAGTATTAGAAATATAATATTTAGAGAACATACAACAAAAAAAGACCGTTTGATTTTAGTTCTTGAATCATTTTTCTGTATTACTGAAAGTCGTTTTCTAATATAAGATGATGTTGTTATTGAAATTTGATATAATCGTCTTGTTTTGAAGTTTTATTTAATAATAAGCACTTGATTCGTGACATCCATCGGAAAAAAAAAACTAATATGGAATATCCGATTGACCTATGTTAGGTTTCTTTATCTAATGATTTTCTATTATTCAGATTATAAAGTAGAATTTTATCTTTCTTCTATTCTTTATTATAATTATATTTGTGGGTATATATAGATATTATATGTAAATAAATATTTGTAATTAAAAAGCTGTCGCTATTAAATTGATAGGATTCAACAAATGCTTTATCTCACAATATCAAAGAACATAGGATGATTGAGTGAACGGGTTCTCTCAGTAAAAAAGTTGAAAGACAAGCCGATTATCTGGTTGTTTTTAATTATATCTCAGTGGTTATATATAATCAATTGTTTTTATTTATTATTACATTAGACAAATCTTTTTTGGTGAATTAACCTATGGTAGTAGGGATGGGATTTCCTAAAATTTCTTTTAAATAATATGACAATACCAAAATATCTGCTTCAATAAATACAATAAATCTTCTCAACAATGAACTATGATATTGATTGACTTGAATAGAACTTTCATCAACATTTAAAAAACTTTTATTATTCTCATATATTATATAATATCGACCAATTGTTTTCAGGATGATTAATAAGATTTTAACTAGGCCTTTATAAAAAAAACATCGAGGTTTCTCAATGAAAAAGGTCAATAGATGTAATTACGAGGAATTTTTCTTATAGATAGATCGTATGACTCAAAGAATATTTGGAAGGTTGCAGCCGAAAAAAGTTTTTCTTCGTCGAGTTATTGAATTTTCTAGTAAACGCCGATTTTGTGATATGTCTGTAGCAAAAGGACTATTTTTGGAAAATCAATATGTTTGACAAACGAACATTTTTTTCGGCTGAAACTTTCAGGATGTTCTAAGAGTCATTAAAACTTATCTATAAGCAAAAATTTTGATTGAAGGTTTGCCATCTGATTTTATAAGCAATACTTACAAATGGATTGAAAATCCATTAAACCGATCATCACTTAGTGGCAAAGGCTCAAGGGAATGAATCATTTTTAGCTTTTGCCACTCTTACTGAGATCTATCTGTTGATCCAACATGAACTCAAATGGCATGTATCAATCGAGGTAGTTCACTCGTTAGCATAAATAAAAGACTTCAGCATATGATATGAAAATGTATACTCTTGCAATAGGTACGGTGGTAGAAAAAGGTTTAACAACAATGCTTTTACTCTATATTATTGAGCAGCTGATTAAAAACTAGATAATGATTCTAATAGTCAATCGAATTTTCTATCTCATGCATTCTATACTAGATGAATTAAGATGGCTAGGTGTCTAAAAAACAGGACACAGTAATTTTCAGGTCACGGAAGCTAATTTTTAACAATGTCGTTTTAAAAAGCATACAACGAGGGGTTGTCACATTTTCTATAGCCTTTCTTTTAAAAAGTCGGAAACATCACAAAAATTGAGTAATCTGAAGAGGCCTCGCTTTATTCATAATGTTGCGTTCTTTAAAATGGCATTATTAAAAAATAGCCTCTGTGACCTGAAAACTACGGTATCCAATTATTTTAGAAATATTGTCATCGTAGTTCATCTGGTATAGAATTCATTAGATATAAAACTCAATTGGCTATTAAAATTAAAATTATGATCTGAATTTAAGCTAGGTGCTAAGCATTATAGAAAACAAAATCAAAGATATATTGTTGTTAAATTTTGTTTTCACTGTCTGATTATAAGTATCTTTGTTTTTTTGTATGCAGCGCCATCTCAAATGGTTTTATAGAGAGGAATGTATTTTATGATTACTATGACCGATAGGATTGGTGTCCTATTTTTATAGAAACTCAATGTGGACTTGGTTAAAGTACTCATTTATCTAATAGTTACTGATAAGAGTAAGTCATTTGAAAATGTATTGAAAGTTCAATGTTTTCAATTATTATATTTTCAAGATGAATCTTTAATGCAATAGTTAATAGAATTGGAAATATAGTAAAACTTCTTTTCAAAAAGATGAATTGATAATATATTATTCGATTAGTTATTATTATAACGTCATATGATGAATGGTATATTTAATTCTGTTTCATGCAATATTCATATTAACCAAATATGAATTGTATGAATTAGATATTTATTTAATATTCAAAATCATGAGAAATATGTTATTATTAATTTAAAACCATATGTTCAATTTTGATGTGATCTTGATATTGATTCATGCTGAAAATAAAATCTATCTGAAGATTAATATTGATATAAAATTAATCAAGAACAAATCTAAACGGTTTGGTTTTAAAATTAGTTTCTAAAGCTTTTGCGTATGAATTTTTCTCAAATTTCACTTGTTAGTTGTTTCTTTCTTTTTATAATAATGGTGATAAATCATGAAAAATTTTATTACGAAAATTGATAAAATCCTATAGCAAAATACAGAGGAACATAGACACTCGAAAATAGTTTTTCAAACAAAAATCATCAATTAATCGAATACATTTTATTCTGGATTTTATGTCAATTAAAATCTATTGTTCTATAACAATGCGTACTAATCAGGAAAGCAGAAAATTTATTTTGTACACTTTTATATAGTGTAAAGAAAGGTTTTTGAGTAAATTATCAATAAAAATAACACGACAGCATTCATCATTTTTCAGTATTTTTGAAAATTTAACGATGATCTATTTGAAGCACTTACATTTATTAAGAGCAATTGAAAGATAATATTTGCTTTTTGTCATAGAGAATATAAATGCAAAAAAACATCATGATAAGTAAAAAAAAATTGTCCGCATTATTTATCAAATAATCGATAAAATTTTTATTATCATAGCCAAGACTTTATCTATTTGATAAGATGTTGTTTTTCATTTTGGAAATTAAATTTCGACTGACAAGAGAATATTCACAGATGTCCATTCATCTTCAAATCATCACTTAGTGACCTATGTATACCAAAAAAAAAACGATTTCATGCTAATAACCTATTGTTAAGTAGATCGTATGTTTTTAATCAATCTAAACCTGAAATTGTGCTCGTATTACGATCATAATTAGACGAGATTACATTAAAAAAATTGTCGAGAATTTATAATTAAATCTCTGTGAAATATGATGCTTTTCAAAAAAATACAAAAATATATATATTAGTTATGAAAAAGAGCCTATAAATTGAAATTTCTATTTCTTGCAAAAAATTAGTCGCAAAAATTTTGAAATTAATTATGTAGACCAAGTTTTAGGTCGAAACTCGAAAATATGGTTTTGGGACAAACATAGAGTCTTACAGTAATAATTTATCAATAAGATTCAATCTTGCTCTTAAAAGGTCATAAGAGCAAACTTTGCTATATGGTGAATATAGGTCACTCAGTTTTGCCCAACGCACTAAATCATGGTACAAAGACAGGTTGACATATGAAAATATTTCTCTATGCAGTAAACAATGATATCAAGGGATTTTCATGTTTTTAATTTGATTATTATTATTCTTATACTTGTGATTGCTAAAACTAATATAAAGTCAAAAGTCATCATTTCGTGGATAAATACTAAAAAATTGATTTTTTGAAATTTTAATAATGTTATCGAGTAAAAAGACGAATTATAAAAGTTGCTCCACTTCTCTGCAATATTGACATACTTATTTTCTAAAAGTAAATTATTGTATCGTGTTACTAAATTATTGTTTTTTGTTGGTTTTGTTTAATAAAAAATCTACATTTAATTAAATTGATATTGTTTTTTTACTTGCTTCTGTTACATATGATTGTGACGTATCTTGACTCTTATCATATCAAATCAAGGTGAAGACAAAGCATATAGATTTGAGAATCAAGCATAGTTAAGATATAGTATCATAGAAAAGCCAACGGTTCGAACTTGTTGTTATTCTTTTGACTTTCTTTTACTTTTTCTTTGATGTTGTAAATCAAATTATTACTTCCTTATGTTTCAAAAGGCGCTGAATCATTAGTCCTCACGTTTGATAAATCATTGACTTCGATCAAACATAATCGATGCATTAATCATAGCATTATGTGAGAGACAGAAAATTTTTCACCTATATAATTTAATAGAATTTTCTCAATATACATCCATCCGATGGGACGTGATTGTATAGAATAGACACATTCCATCGATAATGATGCATATTGAAATTCATATATTAAAGAATTCATGATAACATGATAAAATAGTTTTGATTGTAGAAATCCTACTGTGATTCTTACAGCGTTTGTAATAGAAATTCTTGAATAAAATAGTTATTTATTTTCATACAAAATAAAACACCTTTATTATAAAAATAAATACAAGCAAGAAGTTTTCGGCTTTGGGCCGGTGAAAAGAAAAAACGAAAGCTCATTGGTAACGGCGAATGCTATTCTAATTAAAACAAAAATAAATGAACATTTACATTTGAAATATTATTAGATATTTTTAAAAAGCAGATTCTTCTCGATATTTTTCCGTCACACGATTAGCCATTGATGTTAAACTATCAAGTGATCGAAAAAGACCATAATAATGATATTTAAGTTCATCTTTTATTGCTTCATATGATGTAGCAATTGATGATGTTGAAATTTGATCGAATTCATCAGACGATACAGTTGATGATGCTGATGAAAATTGATTAACATCATTATGTGGAATTATAATTCCTTCATCATCATTGGAATATTTTCTGTGATTTTCTTTCGAATTATTATTATTATTATTATTATTATTATTATTATCATCATCTTCAGCAAATGGATGTGTAAGTTGTAATTGATTTCTCATATCTCGAATAAATGTATAAATATCATGCCAATTATCTGGTTGAACAGAATTATCGAAGACCATTTCTTTAAAAACAAAGAGACATAAAATTGTAATATTAAGCAAAGAACAAAAAAAATATTTACCTTCAACTGGCATGTCTTTAAGTCTTGATGGTAACATTATTTCTTCTTCCATAGTTTTTATTGCTTGAAAAAAATTATCAATTGTATCAATAAGAAGTGGTGCAGATAAAGTTGATGATGCGCGTGTATTAAGAAAATCATTATTTATTGCTGAATGATTTAGACGACGTTGATTAGCAGTATAAGCATTTTGTTTTTGTGTTGTACTTGATACAGATGATCGTCTGACTAATTTTGGGAGTAGTTGAGACGTTGGTTGTAGTCTTGATGAATTAATATCAGGAGAACTGTTTGTTGGTGTCATAGTAGAACCATTGGATGTCATTTTTTGTTCAAGAATGGAGTCGATGTGTTTGTGACAATCTACTTATAGGCAGTAAGAAAGAAAGAAAAAGAGAAAATGTAGAAAAAAAAAAACATCAAGGCTGTGTTTTTTTTTTGCTTTTCTCTCAAAAACATGTCGTATTGTAACCAAGAGAGAGAGAATAATAGACAAGAAAAAGTCAATATAGAAAAAGAGAATATTCTACTTTTTTGCGTCTATGTATACAGAACGTTGAAAAATCATGCATCGAATGAATGATACTAGGATAACCATTATTCGGTTTTGCGCCAAAAAAATACATTTTGTTTTTCCTCAAAAAAATTGCACGGAATATAAGAATAAAATGAGACAAAAAAGATAGAAATAATCAGTACAAATAAAAGTGCAAAAGGTTATGGTTTTTATTAGTAGTAAATTTAATATAAAAAAGAAAAAAAAACAAGAAAATTTTGTGAAAATTTGAAATAATTCTTTTCTGAATTTGTACTTAATTTAATTTGTATGTATATATTAAATACATATCTAAGTTATTATCTTACAGCATGTTTTATATATATAATATAATGTAGGAAGTTATTCATCCAATAATGCACCTCCACGCAATGATGAATAAAAAAACAGACGTCATCGTTGCTTTTCCTGGCGTATTTATTTTTAAAATATGTAGAAATATGTTAGTCAAATAGTTTTCTCCATACCTTTTTCGTATTAAAAAAACAACTAGCTCATCTTTTTTTCTTCCCACATTATTATCGTATGACGATTATGATATGATTACTTTAAGCAAAACGCATACATGATAACCAATAATTCTGTATACAAATATCATCATCGACACCTACATATATCTGCATGATCAATCTGTGTCAATAAAGTAAAAATAAAATCATTCCTTCATATTTTTTTCATCACGAAAAACTGCAAATATTGAAACCGACAAACAACAAAAACGACCAAGAAGATTATAAAAATATTTCTGCGCAATTACAATAACAGCAGTTTTGAAAAAAACAATGAAAAGAAGTTATCGATTAATGCATGAGTTTATTTTAATAACAACAAAATTTTAAACAATAAATATTATTTTATATTTATGATAGATATTTCAAAAAAATTTATCAATAAATAGAGATAATAATACAAATTGAATAACAGGTTTTTCAAACTCTTTCAATACTATTAATTGAAATATTTCTGATTTTCACTGTTATATAGTCTGAGTTGTTTTTCTTTTCGAAAACCACTTTCTATTGAAAAAAAAAAAGATTGATAAATAGCAATTGACACTATCAGTGCGCCAGCCGTTTACTTAGATTGCTCCACATTCAATGTTCGAAGGGTTTACATGATATTATTAATAAAATTGTTAAAATAGACGGAAAGAAAACAAATTTTTTTATATTGCGAAAATCAATGTATTTACCATGTGCTGTAGAAAAATATTATGTAGAACATTTGAACTATGAGAGTATATGTAAATATAGAATGAAAAGCTCTCTATATATTTTTATTTACGAAATATTTAAGTAGATTAAATATATGAAAGTAAATATATCTTTATATTGTTCGATTGCAAAAACAAGTGAAGAATAGCATAGGTATATATTGATGCTCGGCTATGTTACGACGCCATTATATTTTATAGAACGAACAAAGTTGATCGAACGTCGTAATAGTAGCATTTTAAAGAACGGAACAGATTTCACTTGGTATGATTCACCTTGACAAAATTTATATATACATTTCATTTTGTACTAAAATAGACTAACTAAATATAGTTTCGATTTTGTAAACTTCTTAGATTTTTATAGAAACAAATTAAATATTCGAAAAAATGATTTCCAATTTTTAGAACATGTTTAATTCAAAGAAAGAAAAAAAAAAGATTTTTCTCATAGATGAATTCATGAATAATTTGATAGAAAAATCACAGCGATTTTTTTTTATAAATTTACAATTAATATTCATCTTGAATTAGAAGAATGTTTAGCTAAATTTTTCAATTGTGAAGAACATATTATTGATTTTTATGAATATTCAATTATTTCCGAGGTCAATCGTCAAGGTCAGATAAATATACATTTTTTTTTATTTCTTAAAATTCTCATTAATTTTTTTTACGCTTAATGTTGAATTGAAATATAAATAACACTTATTTATGCATGAAAATATTTCATTTGGTATAATAGAGCAAATAGGTCGTGGTATAACAGAATATAATAATATTGTGTGACAAAAAAATTGAGTTAATATCATTAGCATTAGAATATTTCTATTTGTTCAGTAAGTTTTTTTGTTCTTGATTAGAAACTAATAATGGAAACAACGCAAAACAGTTTATTATTTGAACTATCAATTGATAAAAGTAAACATTTACGTTAAAAAACTATTGATTAAATATTAAAGGTAGTTTAATTACTGTGGTTAAAATATCATTATTAAAATATTTACGTATAACAAATTCATTTGATAAAAAAATTAGAAATACAGAACAAATTGTTGAATTTACTTCGACACATAATAAAAATCTAATCATTTCAAGATATTTAAATGATGATGATCGTTCACGTGAATCATTGATAGATCTAATATAAAATATAAAAATGATCAATGAAAAATTTTCATGTAACATATGCATGATTAGATGCACTTTTTCTGTCGATTAAAAATACACTCAACCTTTTGTTTTTACTGCAACCTCTTGTTATCGTTTTATTGCGCATGGTTAAATTTTTCTTTTCTGTAAGAAACAAAAACTAATATAAAAAGAAACAGAATGGCAAATTTCACACACTGCAATCGTTGTTGACCTAGCATTACTCTTAATCATGTACTAATTATCTGAGAAATGTATGTGTGATCCATGAAAAGTAAAGGTAATTACAAAACATGATGCTGCATACGAGCACTATGTTGTGAGATATAAATAGATATTTATAAATACTATAGCATATTTATTAACGCCAGTTCTGTCTATAAATAATCTGAAGAATACAGATAAACATGAGACAGCACGCAAAAAGAAATTAGATAAAACCACATTGTTGAATAGTGTATAAGATAACATTGAAATTATATGTTTATTACATAGAAATCCTTCAAACAAAACAGATATGCATGTTAAGGTTTTTTCATACTCTGTACTCGGTCTGAGAAAAAAAATGCTAACTATTATTTTATCTTACCCTACACATCTCTATCAAGTAATATTTCTAGAATTAGTCATTAGAATAATTTTAATAATCATCAAATATGCTATTCATTACGATAAAACAGTTGCCTAACTAAACAATTTTCAAACTTTTTTTCGCATTCTTATGAAACATAAATTTTTTATATTGTTTATTTATTTCATAGTTTTTTAGTTTAATGATATATTGAAAGTGTTATAATAAAAGATAGTTCATTAGGCTTTCTAGCAAATAACAGTTGAACAAAAATCAATTGAACTAAGTGTAAATGCAACTTTCCTCTCATTTAAATTCATATAAAATATTCATTTATGTACACTAATAGATAGAGAATTTCAAACTTTCCAAAACGAAGATCTTAAGTTTTAAAAAGAACATTTTACCTTTTGCAGGACAATCCAAATATTTACATATCCTATAAATTCATATGGTGATGGATTGCTATCCGTCCTTTGCAAAGTATGGAGAATTTCGAAGGCTAAAAATTTTGTTCTGGATTTGCTTGATCTATGTATGGTTGGATATCTACGCTTTACTGAGAAGTTGAAAACATCCTTCACAATGATTTTTTAAACAATGAAGTTTTTTCTCGAGTCAAAGTTCAGTTGCAAAGTGCTTATTTGGACACCAAAAAAAAAATACAGAATTTTGTTCTCCACAAAACCATGTGACTGGTGAACCGAAATGCGACATGTTTTTCGCTAAAATTCATGAAACATCAAGCAGAACCCAAAATGAATATAAAAATTTATTGGTCTTAATTTTTATCTGAAGCTATCATTTTAAATTTTGACATATAGCAGATTTCATGAAGAATATTGTCGTTTTTTCTTAGAAACCTAAGTAATTTCTCAGTAGCGATGTCAGAATTTTTTCGTTCTTTTACTTCCACAATAGCGATATACAGTAGGGCTCCGCGTAAGATGGGGCAATCCCATCCTATTGGTCCCATGGGATGAAAAATATTTGGAGAAATATCCCATCCCATCCCATGGGACAAACGTCTTTTACAAAATTTTATTAAGAACAACATAATCGTTTCGAAATAGATGTCTTTCTCAAGTACTCGAGCGAAACAAGTGAGAAAAAATTTCTTTTCCTATTCTGTAAATGGTTAAGCACTGTAACCATTAGGATTCCATAAAATAAGATATTTGACGAGTGTGAATTCTCTTGAGATGCATGGAAAGAGATGGGACGAAAGATTTTCTGTTCCATCCCATCCCACATGAGACAGAAAATTTTGAAAATAATCTCAGCTCATTCCACGCGAGGTCCTGTTATACAGTATACTTCAGTGTGTTGGTCGGGCGTGTGGGTATGCGTGCAAGTTTGGATTTGGTTATGGAGAAAAGAAGAGTCACGCCCAGCAACACACCCATAACCACAACCACACCCCGTCTCCATCTTCTTCATTGAAATCATATAAGGCAAAAGTTGTTCGTTGAATGAAGCAGGCCAATGCAACAGCTCAAATTTTTGATTGTGGTTCATTTTCATATACATCATGAACTTTGTTGACTTTTACCTTCTATAATTTTTAATGATCTTTCAGAACGTTCTCGGTTTTCTACTGGATGAGTTTTACAAAAACTTTGAAATGTAACTTTAATGTAAACTTCACTTAGTGGATTTTTTTGCTGAATTTGACTTGCAGTTTTCGTTACACAACCATAGATGACTCAAACTTGGCCACTTATAAAACTATTTTTATTCTAACATTTATAGGCACAAACATCTGACAATAAATAGAACAAAAAATTCAAAGAACATACTAATAAATTATAAAAAAGTCAATTAAATTGCTTGAATTATATAAGATCTATTGAAGTTAATTTTTAATGTCCGCATTTTTGTATGATATTATAAGAGATAAAATTATAATAAAACTGATTATCTTCGCAAAACATTAAAAAAAAATACATTAGAACTATCTTTCGTTTCAAGAAAGTTTTGATTAAAAAATAAGAAAATTTCTTAATGATCAGCAAAATTCTATATCATTTGATCGAATAGATCTGCGATTTAGTTTGCTTTATATCGATATCAGAGAAGATAATCAACTGAACCATGTATGAAACTACAAATCTGAAATATATGATGCCAAAAACACAAATTTCTAGACATGGACTATCGTTTTCATGCATAATTTTCAAAACTTTGTAAAAATGATGAACTACGAGATAATTCTGTCTTATATATTATCAGATAAAAAGACTTCTGGAGTTTCCTTCTTTCGATTCCGGAAAATCTCCGGTCGCTAGCTGTTGCCCATGTCAAGTGATTGATCTCACGTTGATCTATGTTTAATTCTAGCACGTACATTAGTTTCAGTCTGAAATATATATATATAACTAAAATGATGTATGCAAAATTTTGAGCTACAACTTTTACCGAATCCTCACATTTGACAAATTCGTCACTTCGAAACACGATTTTTATCTATTCAGCATCAAATGATCAATCTTTGATGCAACCATTAGACACAATTTAATTTCGTGCAACAACTATTAATAATGATAGAAATAAATTGTTATTATTGTCTTCATTGAATCTCAAACAAAAACGAATTGATTCATCATCCATAAATTCTCCTATTGTTAATTCAATAAAAATTCCTAATATTAATTTAGAAATATTTCATTATTTATTTATTTCATGTCAATCAGAAGAATATCATCAACATTAAATGATTTAATCTCTAATCATAACCAATTAAATTCTTTAAAATCTCAAAAATATATTATTTTATATGTCGTATATTTTCTTAAAAACAAGAAGCATCGATACATTGTGAGTATCGTTTATTAACATATCCTATAGATTGTTTAACACTATCAATGACATCATTGCCATTACTAAATGAAAATAAGATGTGTTCAAGTTATATCGAACCAATATTAGATCGATAGTTAAGAAAGAAAAAAAAATTCTCTACANTAAAGAGTCTCATGCATGATTCATTTAATATATCGAATTATTCACAATCCATAACAGATTATAGTGATAGATCAACTATGACAAATACAAATCGAAAGTAAGAAAACAAAAAATTTGATTTCTACATAGAGAAACAGTTTCATTTTTTTATTTCAATAGAGTTTCATCGAAAAAACTCTTGAAAATAAACTATTCCAAAATTTATTCTTATCACATCTAAAAATTATTTATATGCCGGTTTTTTATTTATTTAGCCAACGACTAGCATATATTTGGGTCATCTCTCTTGAAGTTTATTCTGATTAATATGATAGATAAGATAATTTTCTTAAACCATAGAATATTTAATTATAATCTTAAGTATAAGTTGGAACAATTTTTCCCTCGTAGTTCAGGTATTAATATCAGAAACTAATATTTCATGTAGTTCCAGTATCTGTACTAGTGAACTTCCAAATTTCGGTTCTGCGCATGTCTATTTGTGAGATATAAATACTTTCTTTCTTTTTTTCCTATCGATAATAACAATTTAAAATCTTAACTGTTGATATTTACTAAAATACAGATATTTTACGATTACAGATACTTTTAAAGTTTGAGGTCTTCAATGATTCAAACAAAGTATGACAGTTAACAAGTGTATGATTTAAGAATATTCGTTGAAAATGAGCATCCATTATTGAAAGAGATAAGAATGATTATCTAACATATATTTTTTGCAGTTAATATTTTACATAATAATTTCAAAATATAATAATGAAAACTTGAAGAGAAAATATTCATATCAAGAAGGATTTAGATTTATCATAATCTCAAGTCATTTCATTTTTTTTTTCGTAACGTCGTATCTCGATATTTATTTGCTTTCGAAAGCTACTGGAAAATAGGCAAACTTAGGAAAAAAAAGTATACAGAATTCTATATGCTAGTACTGAAAGATTTAATTATTGATTTGTTTCTTTATTTTTCTTTTCAAGACACAGATTCTCCTATTAAAATATCTGATGATCATGATTATCGTCAAGATCTTGATGAAAGAAAACGTCAAACACAAATGAATAAACGATCATCACGTTCTCGTTCACGTTCAAAATCAACAAGTTCACGTACTTCATCAATAAAAGAATCTAAAAGACGATCTCCATCATCATCATCATCAAGTCGTACATCATCAATTAGTAATCGTTATCGACGACAACAAAGTGAATATAATTATGAACGTCATCATTCATCAGATAAATCTTATGATTATCATCGACGAAATATTAATAATTCAACTTCAATTCATTCACAACCAGTACGTCATCAAAGATTTAATTATAATCATCAATCAGTTGCTGATCATCCACGTTTTGCTAATTTAAATACAAGATCTACTCCAATAAAGAGTCTCATGCATGATTCATTTAATATATCGAATTATTCACAATCCATAACAGATTATAGTGATAGATCAACTATGACAAATACAAATCGAAAGTAAGAAAACAAAAAATTTGATTTCTACATAGAGAAACAGTTTCATTTTTTTATTTCAATAGAGTTTCATCGAAAAAACTCTTGAAAATAAACTATACTCTCATGTCATAGAGAGAGATTTATTGAAATCAAATATTTTCATTGTTTCTAAGGTGTCATATCAATCGAATTAGAAAAAATACAACGATCATATCGATATTTGAATTTCATATATATATATAGATGAATGTTTTGTTATAATAAAGATGAGTTATAACAAAATGTTGTTGATTGTAGATAATTTATGCTATTCATATCCTCATATGGGATTCTTCTATGCATGTACCGAAGTCGACCTCCAGCCCAGTGTTCGAATCATACCATTTGCATTCGGAAAACGGCCGAACGGCTCAAGTTCGGGCTCAGTACTGAAAAATTAGCTTTTTGCTTCTAAAGCTTTTTCCAGCACAATAATAACTATCATATTTGTAAGTGACATATTCAAGCGAAACCATTAGAACGGATTGTATCTATACATTAGACCGATTTTAATTGCTTCAATATGCATAAGAAAAGATCGTTTAGCAGATACAAGACAAAAGCCTTTTATTTGTATTTAAGTGTTTTATAAAAGGCAGAATGAGAAGCGAAAACAAACGAAATAAGGATATATCTGTTGATATCAAACTGCTTTGTCCATATTTGTTTTTGTTCGCTTTTCTAATATTTAAATAATCTATTAAATGGTTACAATATGTAACTAAATCAACATGAAATAACTATTTTCATATTAACACATGTTAAAACTTATTCTGATTTAATAGATTGCAGATTTAATTTACTTGATCTGTTTTGAAGAATCATTTTATTTTTATTACAATTTCAATATCCAACTTTTTATTTAATAATTTTTAGAGAATAATATTCTATTGTTAGAATAGAATAAAATTTTATTCTATGGACGAACTGTTTCTTAGTGATATTGTGCAGTTTTTATATTATTATTCTCATTTTATTATTTAGAAAAGTTCGCTGTACAATATTACGTTCTACTTGAACGCATAGATAATGGTATTAATATGAGTGTATGTTTTGTATAAATTCTATGTATTAACATTTTACTTGATATTACGGATCCGTTTAAAATACAAGCTTCTTGAGTCTTGCATGTCTTAATAATAATCAAAATTGAACGAAAAAAATATCGAATAATTCTAATTATCGTAAATGTAAAACCTGTAAGACTCAAGTTGGTTTATATTTTAGCGTATATGTTTCAATATTTTCTTTGTAATGTTATATCTCAATTTTGTTTCGTTTATTAAATACATTTATATTTAATGACATTAATTTTATTCATTTTCCTTTAGTTTCAATTCTTTGTACTATAATGATTTATCTTCAAATTATCACAATTATTCAGATGATCATAATAACAATCTTCCACCACCTCAACCGCTTATGTCTACTACACCGGCAATGAATTTTTCTTATTCATTCGATTCAAAACCATCTCATACAATAGAACGTTTACAAATGATTCTTCAAAATAGAACAATAACATCATATGAACATGAACAAACATCAATAAGTGATTATTCTTCATCGTCTTACGCAATGAATCCACCGCAAAATAGTAATAAATCTTCTTGGTCTTCATCGAGATAATCTTTATAATCAATACCTGATGCAAAAATGCAAAAGAAACAAGCATCTATTTATATTGATTCAGAAAAATTAAAAACGCTTGTAAAATATCTATACTCATAAAAAAAAATCTTATTTTTGTTTCTCATACTTTCCGCTCTTTCGTTTTGTTATGTAAAGCACCATATTTTTCTTGTGTTCAGTATACAAATAGGAGGATAGCAACGATATTGAAAGTAGTCAAACACTTTCTCGTTGTTGTAAAATAGAAAAGCATTTAGTTTTTGTTCGTAAACATTGTAAATAAAATAGTTTAAGATACTTGATATATGAAAGATTAACTAATAAAATATTTGCTGAAATATGAAAGACTTTTATTAATTTATTTATCAAATACTTGTTCACTATACAATGGTTTATAATTTAAAAAGCTTGGATAAATAACTGAAAATTGATTATTATGAATTGATAATAATGAATGAAAATATTGATGAATTTCATGTGTATTATCATATAAAATACATTTCGATATTTCATTTAATTTTGATATATGATTAATAATAGAAATATCAAATTGAAATGCTGGTTTTATATTTTCAAATGCTAATCGTACAGTTTTATGCAAATGTTTTAATAAATGTTTAGCATCAACACTACCAATCCAAATACGAAATGTATTTAAATTAGGATAATTATTTGGATTAAGTACTCGTTGAAGATAATTTATTATTGCATGATTAAGATGAGATTTAATTGATATTATTTCAATTATTTCAAGTTGATTAAATTTATCAAGAAGTAATGGTGTTAATTCAAAATTATTATCACTAATAAGAATAAATCGACGTAAATAATGAAAAATATTTAATGAATAAAGATATGTTAGTTTTGCATGAAATGTTATTGGAATTTTAACATCAAATATTAATGATTGTAAATGATTTGTATTTTGTATATTAAGATCATTAATATGAAGTTCATAGTGTGGTATCCGTATACTTAAATGATGTAAATCTAATGTTTGAATTAGAGTTTGAATTGAATAATGAATTAAATTTTTATATTGAAATAATAATTCATTATTATTATTAGAATATTGATGAATTGATGCATGACGAATACAATGATATTTATATTGATCAAAAAATATTGAACATAATTGTTTCATATTAGATATATGTGAGACGAGATTAAGTGAAAGAAGATTTTTATTTAATGAATGAATTTCATATGGAAGAGAACTTGATTTTGTTTGACAATGACATTCAAATTGATCAATATATAGAAGTAAACAAGGTGAAATACTTAATGATCGAAGTACATATAAGGAATTGAAAATATGTTTAAAATCAATGGAATGGCAATGAATACCAGTTAAATTGAGATTAGTTAATTTATTCAACCAGGAATATTTGAGAGGTATTTGAAAAATAGATAATTGATTATCATCAATGAATTCAAGAGAAAATTCATCAATAATATTTGATAATGTCTAATCAAAGAAGTAAAATGCATAGAATAATATGATATTGTTCAAATATCTCAAATTGTCTATATGAATTGCTATTATATGACACATAGATTTACCACCATTCGTTTCAAAATGTAATGTGCTGCACTATTCTTTTTTGCAATAACTTTTGATAGGAACATTATCAGCGGTGGATCTAGGAAATTTTCAATATGGAACGATTTTCTGAAATAGGGGTGATTATGCTCATAAAACGTCTTTTGAAGCTGTATAGAGGTAGTTTCAGCTGAATTTTAAGCGGTTTCTACTAGAAAAAAATCGATATTTTGCTGTGTCGATATGGGACGATCGCCCCAAGCGCCCCCCCCCCTAAATCCACCACTGAACCTCATAGAGATCTGAGATCATTGAAGTATATCGAAATTTGATTGGTCAAAAATCGATCAATCAGGTGAATTCTTAGTGTAGATTTTCGAAAACGATATTTTGAAACGATTTGTCTTTTAACAGGACTAATCGATAGAAAAAATTCTTTCTTTTTCATCTACGCAAAACTGATACTCCCGGTTTGTTTCTTTGGAGAGGTTATAAGACTTTTCATGAGAATATCTCTATTTCAGACAATTGAACTGATATTTAACGAAAGAGTAGCTAGAGAGAAGTTATTCACCTTGATGAGTGGAAGAATGATATTTGCTTTTGTGTACCAAATAATCTTACTCTCTAATCCAAATATTTCTGAAATTCCACAATCAGCCTTCATGTAACGAAAGAATGAACATTTCGAAAACATTGAAATAAGAGAGTGTCAGATCAATTCGAACTCAAAGAAGAATATCACCATTCGAGTCAGCATGATAAGTTACCGCTGTCCAACTACATTGTCGGATGATTAAAGTCCAAGTGGTTGAAATTGGAGGTCTCCAGAAAAATCCTGTAAGTTCCGAACAGAACAAGCTATGAATGCCTGTCTTGCGTAGATCGAAACAGAAGAATTTCTTCTATTGATTAGGCTTATTAAAAGTCTAAATCAAAATGGATATAGCATTAAAATACGAGTTTCGAGAGTCTCGACCTAGAGAACTTACCTGAATGAGCAATTACTCATCCATCAAATTTCGATATACTTGAATGGCTTGCTGAATCTTTTCTCATGAATAGTTTGAGATGGATAATCGAAAATTTTCAAGTGTATGAATAGAAATGTAAACCAATCGGCTGACACGCTACTGCTGAATTTATCCTAACTTTCTTCCTTTGTCGGCAGTTGTGGCTGACATATCTTGAATACTTTACGATTCTCAGGGTTGGGAAATGCTCGATCGATGAGTTAAAACCTCTAGGTCCAGCTGCGCTACCGTCATAAAGTAGAAAATTATAATTAGAGATATGCAGGATCAGGATGACAACCACGGAAAAGAGAAGTTATCAACATCGAGATCAGATTAGATTTACCGAGGCCATAACCGGGACCCAAAAAAACTTACGAGGGAACCGTTCGAAGTGATTCAAAGCTTTTAAGCCGATATTTTGCCCATAAGTAGAGTCCAATGAGATTAGAAAAAGCCCAAAAGGACAAGGGCCCATGGGCCTTTCTTCTCGAGTT